CCCACCTTCCTCTGGGGCATCTGGGGACACGGCCCAGCCCTTCTCCCTGCCGGAGCATCCCCCAGTAAGCGGGTTGGGACTGATGCTGTGTGTGATGCTGGGTTCTGGGTGTCCCCCTGCCCCGGGGCTCTGCCTTCCTGCCACCCTGGGGACCCGCATGGGGCAGTGGCACCCCACAGGGCCCCCCCGACACATGCGGGTGTTTGGGGTTGGGAGGCACTGGGGCAGCTGGCGGTGTTGCTCCCCTCTGTGTCCCCACAAGGGCCCTGTGTGGGTCACCCTTCAATTGTCACCATGAGTTCCTGTCCATGCTTGCCTCCACCTGGGGAGTCAGGGCCAGTGGGTCCCCGTGGCAGGGACAGCGCCGGGACGTGGCAGGCAGTGACATGGAGCCCGTTGTGCCGGGACGCCCCACACCACAGCCTGCCCGATCACGCATGGCAGGGACCTGGGGCTGCACAGGGACAGCAGCGCCTGGCACCACTTCCCCGTGCTGGCCCCGTGTCCCCTGCTGCCATCTGGGAGCAGGCGCTGGGAGCTGTGCCCGCGATGGGGTCTCCATTCCTGGGGACAGCCCCAGCAGAGGGGCTGTGCTGTGCCACGCGCCTGGCTGGCACAGGAGGAGCAGCGGCCGAGCTGCAGTCCTGTGCTGCACCGCTGCCACCCTGAAGCCGTCCCTGTCCCTGTGCCCATCCTCACTGGGTGTCACAGCCCCAGGACGGGCAGCACTGGGAGGTCTGTACCACAGCCCCCGAGCTGGAGCTGTCCCAGCACCAGGGCCTGGGACCAAGGTCTCACTGGCAAAAACTGGGTCACGCCCCGTGTCCCCCAGGGTTGGCTCTGGTGCTGTGTCCCCAGAGCGGGGACCCTCATCCCGCCCGGTGCTGGGGCAGGGCTGCGGCTGGGGAGCCCTGCTGAGCCTGCAGCACCCGTCCTCCGGCTGGGGGGCGATTGCTTTAATTAGAGTCATTTCATTAGCGCAATTAAGAAGCAGCAGTCGCCTGGAGAACGTTGGAGCAACACGCTGGCTCCCGGGGAACTGGGGGCTGTTTCACTCCGGTGGTGTGGGCAGCCTGGGGGGGTGCCCCTGCCCAGTGAGCCCCTGGGGATGAGGGGCATGGGGATGCCCACAGCCTGGGCAGGGGTGGGGACATCCCTGGGGCAGAGGGACAGCAGGACGTGTCCAGGAGCAAGACAGGGACTCGCTGCAGTGCAAGAGCTTGGGCACCGGGGAGCCCACACCCCACCCCTGCCCAGCCCCGAACACCTCTGGGGTGCCCGGTCCCAGCCGGCACCTTTGGTTGCTGCAGCCCAGGTTTGTGTTCCTGGGAGTGGCCTCCCCAAAACCCATACCTTGATTTAAGGTTCGTCCCCACCGCCTTCTGCCCCGGCATCTGACTGCCCCTCTCTGGGCACAAGGCTTCTGCTCTGGCTGGATGCTGGGGGGCAGAGGCTGAGCCCCCCTGCCCCGACTCCTCCATCAAGCCCCGAGCCATGCTCCCAGCCCTGGGCACGGGTGCGATGCTGCCCCTTGCGGGGGGAGTGGGGCCCACGGGTGCTTGGGGCCCCCAGCACCGCTGCCAGCCGGTGAGGGATTCCTCGG